AGTCAAGGTAATGGTGCGGCGTGCTCTGTCCCGAGTGATCTGCAAGCCAAGGTAGCTGCGCAGTTCACCCAGGTCTGTGCACATAAGTCTCTTCAGCAGCTCGGACTTCACGTAGGCGAGTCCAGCAGTGTCCGCTGTGGCAAAGACCAAGTCGTCGACGTACACGAGGATGTAGAACGGCGGCAGGGAAGTCTCGGTGCGAAGAAACAGCGACACTTCCCTTCGGTGTCAGTGGTGTAGCGATCTTTGATCTTGATTTTGATGCTATCCTTGCTGCTATGTATGCTGTGGATTATAGTGAGGAGAATGAGGGTTACCGGTGTTTCCAGCCCGACCCGGGCATTGGTACTGCTGCGCTAGGTGCTTGTGAGGCTGCTGCTCTAGGTGCCAGTGCGTCTGTGCTCTGATACCATGTGAAACAAGTGAACACGAATGAGAAATGACTAAGTTAGACTTGGGTACAAATACAACCCTAGAAAGGTGTACCCCATATGTGCTACCCCACTATAGCCTACAAACATGCATCAGCTATAATACTCTGACAAAAAGTTCTCCAAAATGGGTCACTTCATACCGACCAACGCCACAACTACAGCTGAAGCAACTGCTCGACTCTTCTTCGACCGCATCATCACCATCCACGGCATCCCCGCTACACTCATCTCAGACGGAGACCCCAAATTCACGAGTAAGTTCTGGAAGGAGCTCATGGGACTGTTGGGGACAAAGCTTGCAAGATCTTCAGCATACCACCCCCAGACTGACGGACAGACACAGCGACTCAATCAAGTGGTTGAACAGTTACTGCGCACAGCTTGCAAGGACGACGTCAGCCACTCGGACACACAGTTACCAACCCTAGAGTTTGCTTACAACAACGCATCACATGCGGCCACAGGGAAAACTCCTTTCTTCCTGTGTTACGGACGGGAACCACTCACACCACAGCAGCCAACTACACCGGCACGCGTCCAAGCCGCACATGACTTCGTCACCACCATGCAACAGCTATGGGAGAAGACTCAGCGACGTCTCACCACGATGCAGAACTCCCAGAAGCAGTATGCCGATCGTCAGCGACGTGATCACTGAGTAGCAGTCGGAGATCAGGTGCTTCTTCACACGCGCAACTTGAACCTGTCTCACCTTCCATCCAAACTCCGGCCTCGCTTCTGTGGTCCTTTTCTCGTTGAGGCACAGGTGACACCAGTTACATTCCGCTTGCGCTTACCAGATACATGGAAGCTTCACAACGCTTTCCATGTCCAGCTACTGAAGCCCTACAAGGACCCCAACCAACAGTTCCAGGGACGGCAACTACCGCCACCACCACCTGTTCTCATACAGGATGAACCCGAGTACGAGATCGAGCGCGTTCTCTCTCATCGGCGCCGCGGTGGCAAGACTCTCGAGTTTCTGATACGCTGGAAGGGATACGATCCCACTGAGGACAGTTGGGTTGCAGAAGCTGATATGGGCAACGCACGCCGTGCTCTCAAGGACTATCTTGTCAAGCAAGGTGTATCTCACGCCACCCAGCTTTGAGGGGAGGACGTGTGAGAGTACGACGGCTTATGCCAGCTATTCTTGCTTGCCTCTACTTTATCATGCTATTTCTAGCATAGGATAATCATATGCATGCATGAATTGCTTGATTTCCTAGGCTAGGTGCTTTCCTATATTTTATTATAGTTATAGCACCGAGCTAGGTTGCGTGCACCGAATTCTGGCTTTTCGGTTGCCACCGAATTGCCTTCTACCGAATTCGGTAAGGATCTGTTCGGGACGCTTCGCGACCCGCGGAACCTTCGCGTAACACCTGGTTACGGGGCCTTGTGTCGAGCCTATATATAGCCTCGTGTTGTACCCAGGTGGACATTCAATTCAATTCAATTCGTCTCAATTCTCATTCTCTTTTTTGAACTCGATCCTAGATCCTCACACTCACAGGTCACGCAGACGCTTCTTGGGCTGACGACCAGGCTATGCAGCGGTCGTCACAGGGTTACACCTTCAGCCTTGGCTCCAGCTCTGTTTCGTGGCGGTCTACCCGCTCGTCTTCTGTTCTCACCTCCGCTCGTCTTCCGCTAAGATCTATGCGGGGGCCATGGCTGCACAGAAGCTACGCTGGCTCAACTACCTGCTGACTGACCTAGGAGAGCAGCCTCGTTCTCCTCCAATTTTGTACGTAGACAACAAGGCCATGCTGGCCTTGTGTCGGGAGCACAGACTGGAGCACAGAACGAAGCACATTGCTCTTCGCTACTTCCTTGCTCGTGAGCTGCAGCAGCTTGGTCAGCTACGCCTTGCTTACGTGGCCTCTGAGGCCAACACTGCTGATATCTTTACCAAGGCACTTCCGCCTTGTGATCATCAGCGCTTCTGTACGATGCTAGGTCTTGTGCCTACTTGGCCTCACTTCCTCATTTCTTGACCTTGCTTGTACTGTGATCTTTCTATACCTGCACTTGCTTGTTTACCTTTATATATGATCTTGCATGTGAACTGGCCTTGTGGCCTTGCTCTTGTGCTCGGACTGTGTGGTGACTTTGTGATCCACCCTGAGCTTGCTTTGCTTTGCTTGACTGATCTTGTGACCCTTTGTTCTCCCCCACTTTGCCTATGGGGGTGTGTCAAGTTTATATGACTTAGCCTATGTAGGCTATAGTGGGGTAGCACATATGGGGTACAACACATTTCTAGGGTTTGTACTTGTACCCAACTTTCCCTTAGTCATTCTCATTCCTCGTTTGTTATCAGCATTGGTCTCGAAGCACATTTTCCCCTCGTTAACTTCAATCTCGATACTTCTCTCTTCCTCCATTTCTCTAGTTCTGTCCCGATTTCTCTCCCACTTCTCACGCCATAGCTTCCATTCTTCACCGTAGGCCAAATTCCACCGTTTCATTCACGAATCATCTACGCGCTTCCATTTCGCCATCATCGCGCCGTCGTAGAGACTTTCGCCGTAGGTTTTGTGGTTGGGCGAACAACCCTAATAGTTCGGTGCACACTTTTCAACTAGCGTAGCGGATTCGTGGCGGAAGCAGCCGTGATGCGCGGGAGTGGTGATGCCGCGGAAAGGGGGGAGGAGGGTTGTGAAGTGGAGACGACGAATGGCGTCGTAACTGGCGTCGTAACAAGGGTTTCGAGAACATCGTCAAACGAGACCCACGGACTCTTCTTGAGAAGTTTGATACGCCCACGTTGGTACGCGTTATAAAGCATCAGCATCACATTGTCGACTTGGAGTAGGTTTTCTCTACTGGCTCATTCGTAGGAAAACGTTCACCGCGTATCCTTTTGCATAGAAGGTTGGGGTTTGCTCCGTCCCGACCAATCAGGTGGCGCCAGAGCTCGCGCCCGGCCCTAGGAACCGGCTAGACCCGTACCTCACGGCGCTCGATAAGCTGTTGGACGCGCTGCGGCTCTTCGAGGCGCACAGCTATTTGGGCAGCTGCCGCGTGGAGCTGCGACAGGGGAGGGGGCTGATGGACGATGCGGTGGGGTGACTGGAAGAGTAGTTCGGAGAGGTTCTGTCCGGTGCAAGGTGGGCTAGGGTAGGTTTTCACTTGTTAGTGCTATTCACTTCATCCACATTCCCTCCCCAATCCCTCCACTCTCTTCCCCACGTCCTCCACTCTCCTCCCCACTCCCCCCTCTTCGTTCCTTCCTCCACTTTCTTTCGTTCCGGCCTCTCTTACGCTCCATCCCACTTCCTCCTTAGTCCTCCCCAATCCTCCCCACTCCATCCGCCCCCCATCTGTCAAACTCATATGCTATAGTCTTTGAAGGCTGTAGTGGGGTAGACAATATGGGGTGCAACACTTCTAGGTTTTCCTACTTGTACCCACCTGCTTGCTAGTTCATTCATTCCTCATTTCTCACATGGTATAGAGCAGGTTTCCTAGTGGGAACTTTTCCTAGGGCCCACCACTGAAAATCGATTTTTGGGTTGCGGAGCAACCTATTGCAATCGATTGGAGCTGATTTTTTTTTTTCAAGAATTAATTATTCTTGAAAAATCAAACCAAACTACCGTAACAAAAACTTGTCACCCTGCTTACCTATATTTGTGAGAAAATACAATGACAGAATAAAGTAATTGCATTTCATTCTTTTGTTGTACCTTACTATCCGAGGGAGCATACTCTGATGTTTTTGGGTTGCTAAGCAACCTATTGCAATCGACCTAAAGCAAAAAAAAAAATCACGAAAATTGTTTAGGGAAAATTTTCATCTACAAAAAAAAATGTAAAATAACCGGAAAAAGTTTGTTTAGGGTACTACCATAATAAATTCGACAATCTTTTCATAACGATCATACCGTACTTGTTTACAGCTTTCTGGTCAATTGCTGGTTATTGCTACTTGTCAAAACATATAGCTTGTGCTTATTGTGTAGGCTATAGTGGGGTAGCCCATAAGGGGTACAACCCAATTAGGGTTAGTACTTGTACTCAGTTCATTCATAGTTCATTCATTCTCGTTTCTATCTTCTCATGGTATCGAGCAAGTTCCCTCGTGGGAACTGTGCCTAGGGCCCAGAAAGTCGATTTTTTTTTTTCCTGCCCGGAGCGCGCTCAGCCCGAGTCGCGCTCCCCTCTCTGACTTCGTCGAGCCGCCTTAGCGGCCCCTGATTCATCACTCTAGCGACCCTGTCGCCCTACCTGCGCCCCGGCCCCGTCGCCCTACCTGCGACCCCGGCCGCGTCGCCCCCCCCTTGCGACCCCGGCCCCGTCGTCCTACCTTCGACCCGGCCCCGCCGTCCTACCTACGGCCCCGCCCGAACGCCTACGCAGCCGAGCCGCCCGAGCCGCCCGAGCCGCCCGAGCCGCCCGAGCCGCCTGAGCAGCTGAGGAGCCGAGACGCGGGTGCCGCCGAGCCGCAGTTACTGCCGAGCCGCCCAAGCTGCCCGAACCGCCCTGTCTGGTGAGCGCAGCGCCTCTGTCACCGCACTGCCCCTGCTCTACAGTTAGCGCTGCTAGTCTACTGCTGTCATGGCTACCCCCAGTGTTCTCACTTTTGACGCTGAGGGTCGGGCCATTGACTTTGATGTCTGGGTAGATGACCTGCAGCTGTTCCTACAGTGCGATAGGGCAGACAGTCTCTCCCTCTTTGACCTCACCTCTGGTGCTTCCCCCGCCCCTGCTGCCGATGCCAACGCCACTGTTCGCTCACAGTGGGCCACTCGCGATGCTGCTGCACGTCTTGCTGTGCGTCGCTACCTTCCTACCACTGAGCGCACGCACTTTAGTCAGTACAAGAGTGCTCAGACCTTGTACGACGCTGTAGTTGCGCGCTACTCTTCCCCTGCCACTGCTGCACTGAGTCGCCTCATGCTACCGTACCTCTTCCCTGACCTTGCTGCCTTTCCCACAGTTGCTGACCTCATTACACACCTCCGCACTAGAGACACTCGCTACCGCGCTGCGCTTCCTGCTGACTTCTGCGCCAAGAACCCCCCCCCCATGTACATCACTCTCTACTACTTAGTCACTCGCCTCCCTGACTCCCTTCGCGTAGTCAGGGACAACTTCCTCTCAGTCTGTCCCACCACTCTCACTGTTGACCTCCTCGAGAAGTCCCTCCTAGCGGCCAAGAAGAGCATAGTCGTTGTAGGGGCCTCTCGTGGTGACCCGCGCACCCCCATCTTTGAGGGGTGTTCCCCCTCCCCCCTTCTCCCCTCCGTTGCCTCTGCTGCTGCGGCCGACCTCCTTGGTCTTGAGTCAGTCGGTGCGGCGTCTGCCCCTAGCGGGAGACGCCGCTCTGGCAAGGGCAAGGGGGGCACGGGCGCTGGAGGAGCGAGCGGGGGCGGTGGAGGTGGAGGTTGAGGCGGCGGGGGGAATGGGGGTGGTGGTGGGAGTGGAGGTGGGGGTGGAGGTGTCGGTGGCGGCAATGGAGGCGGAGGCGGCGGCGGCGGTGGCGGTGGGAGCGGAGGTGGCGGAGGTGGTGGCGGTGGAGGAGGCGGCGGAGGCGGCGGTAGTAGCGGAGGCGGCGGAGGCGGCGGAGGCGGCGGGGGTGGCGGTGGAGCTGGTCGCGGGTCTACGCAGAGGAGTGGCTCCGGTAGTGGTCCGCGCCAGCTGCAGCAGCGCGGTCGTGAGACCCTGTCCCCTTAGCTGCTCCGTGAGTGGTACACTGCACGCCAGCAGGGTGGGGGTTTTGGTCCGTGCACCTACGTCCTGCGCACCAGCGACCGTGCGGGTGAGCAGTGTGGGGGTGCGCACCCCACCCAGCGCTGCTTTGGCCGCTTGACAGACGCGTGGCGTCACCAGTTCCCGGAGGCCACAGAGATCCCTCGCTGGGGCGAGCTGTCTAGGGTGGGAGTTGCCATCTATGATCTTGATTTTGATGCTATCCTTTCTGCCATAAATGCTGTGTCTATTAGTGATGAGGGTGACTGTTACCGGTGTTTCCCGCCTGATCCGGGCATTGAGACTGCTGCTCTAGGTACTGGTGAGGCTGCTGCCCTAGGTGCTTGCGACGCTACTGCTCTAAGTGCTAGTGCGTCTGCGCCCTCAGGTACTGGTGAGTCTGCGCTCTCAGGTACTACGTCGGCTTCGGCCTCCCTCACCTTCTGGGGCTTCTCGCTCCTTCTTTCGGGACTGCACCACACTCACGCCGCTCAGTCGGCCTTTTGCAGTGTCTCTGGCTGACCCCTCTGGGGGTCCTGTCCTGTCTCACTTCTCCACTGTCCTCCCGTGTCCGGCGGCTCCCTCTCGCACCCTGTCTGGTCTCTACCTCCCCTCGTTCTCTACAAACCTGGTGAGTGGTGCAGACCTACAGGATGGGGGAGTACACCAGTTCACTCCTGCGCGTCAGCGGGTGACGCACTGCACAGAGGCTAGCACAGGCCGACACCTGGCTACGTTTACCCGTCGGCCAGGGTCCAGCCTGTACACACTGACCACTGCGTCTCCCCCGGTTGCTACGTCTGGTAGGGTAGCTGCGTCGGGTCAGGTGTTTGCTGCAGCGTCCAGGTCTGGTCCTGAGTCTGCCCCCCGTTCGTGTCGTCTCCTGTCTCACGAGACTCTCCTCTGGCACCACCGCCTTGGTCACCCCTCTCTGCTTCGGCTCAGAGGCATGGCCTCCCGTCTTCTTGTTTCTGGTCTCCCCCGGTCCCTTCCTCCCCTTCCTTAGGGCCCTGGCCCTACCTGTGTCCCCTATGTCGAGGGGCGCCAGCGGGCTGCCCCGCACTCCTCCCAGTTTCCTCCGACAGAGGCCCCATTGCAGACGCTTCACATGGACGTGTGGGGCCCAGCCCGCGTCCGTGGACAGGGTCACGAGCGCTACTTCCTGCTCGTTATTGACGACTACACCGCAGTCTTCCCCTTGCGCAGCAAGGGTGATGTCACTGAGGTGCTGATCGACTGGATCCGCGCAGCTCGTCTCCAGCTCAGGCAAAGCTTTGGCTCGGACTTTCCTGTTCTGCGTCTGCACTCGGACAGAGGCGGAGAGTTTTCTACTGGCCTTCTGCGAGCCTACTGTCGCGCACGAGGAATCCGTCAGACCTTCACGCTTACGGACTCCCCGCAACAAAATGGGATTGCTGAGCGCCGCATTGGCATGGTCATGGACGTCGCTCGTACGTCAATTATGCATGCGGCTGCTCCCCATTTTCTGTGGCCGTTTGCAGTGAGGTACGCGGCGCATCAGATCAACCTACACCCCATGATCTCCAGATCGGAGACCTTCCCAGCCTTGCTGTGGACGGGGAAGGTTGGCGATGCGTCGGCGTTCCGGGTCTGGGGATCTCGGGCGTTTGTCCGCGACTTGTCTGCGGACAAGCTGTCCCCTCGTGCTGCTCCTTGCGTCTTCCTGGGGTTCCCCCCTGACGCGCCTGGGTGGCAGTTCTACCACCCCACCTCTCGCCGTGTTCTGTCTTCCCAGGACGTCACGTTTGACGAGTGGGTCCCTCCTACCGCCTCTTCTTCTACCGCACTCCGTCCCTCCCCCCGCCGCCGCTCTTCCTTGTACCAGGTCCCCCTCCGGTAGACCCCCTCCCCCCTCAGGGTCCGTCCCCTTCAGGTGTGTCCCAGGTAGACGCAGTCGAGCCTGTCGAGGTCACTGGTGACTATGGTGCTGCTGAGGGTGCTGAGCCTGGGGGTGCTGACTCTGGGGGTGCTGAGCCTGGGGGTGCTGAGCCAGGGGGTGCTGCGACTGGGGGTGCTGAGCCTGGGGGTGCTGAGCCTGGGTGTACTGCGACTAGGGGTGCTGAGCCTGGGGGTTCTGAGTCTGGGGGTGCTGCGCTTGGGGATGCTGAGCCTGGGGGTGCTGAGCCTGGGGGTGCTGAGCCTGGGTGTGCTGAGCCTGGGGGTGCTGAGCTTGGAGGTGCTCCGCCTGGAGGTTCTTCGGCTACTGAGGGTGCTGCTGTCGCGGGTCCCGGCCGTGCTCGTCCTAGGAGTATTGGAGCTGCTGGGCCTGCGGGTTCGACTGGAGCTGGTGCTGCTGAGGGTGTTGGAGCTGAGACTACTGCTGGCGGTCCTGCTGCGGGTACTCCTGGTACTGCTGGAGGTTTTGGCACTGCTGGTGGTGCAGGTGGAGCGGGTGCTCCTGCTGGGGGTACTGGTGCTGTACCTGCTGTGTCTGGCGTCGCCGCGCGGCCTTGACCGTACTTCGTTCCACTCCTGCAGCAGGTTCTTGGTCTTCCGCCTTCTACTGGTCCTCCTCCTTCTTTAGAGTGTCCACAGCCAGTCCCGTCACAGTTACAGTTGCAGCCTACCTCCCCTTTGCCTGCTCCTTCTCCCTACACTGGTCCTACTGGAGGTCTTACTGAGCGTTGTGAGCCTGCATCTCGCCGTGCGTTGCCTGTCCGTGCTGCTCGCGCTAGTGGTCGTGGTTCACGTCAGCGTCCTCCTCCTGTCCCTGGCACGCACAGGATGTCTCTGCGTCCGTCCACTGCTCCTCTGCATGCCCCTTTGCCTTCTCCTCCTGAGTCCTCTCTTCCTGCACTTGCTGACCCGGAGTCGGACTCTCTTTGTGCTGCCAGTCCTACTGTCACGCGTCTCCTGGCTACTGTCTTCACTGACCCTTCTTTCGAGTCCACTTCTGCGTCTGCCCTAGTTGCTGAGCTCGTCGACTTTGCTGCTCGCTGTCGCCTAGACTACGCGGCTAGTTTTGTCGCTGAGTCTGAGTCTGTCTGTCCTCCGTCCGTCAGGGGTGAGTGTGCCCTTGGCACGGACGTCCTTGAGGATAGGCAGGAGGAGTTCCTGTGCTTGGCTACTGCTTCACCTCATCTCGTTTCCGTACTGCTTACCTCTGAGGGAGACCCGGATGCACTTTACATCCCGACTCTGCGCTCTTACGCGGAGGCGATAGAGGGTCCCTACTCTTCTCAGTGGCAGGCAGCTATGGATGCAGAGATGGCTTCCTGGAAGTCCACAGGCACCTACGTCGACAAGGTTCCCCCATCTGGGTCGAACATCGTCAGTGGGATGTGGATCTTCAGGGTGAAGCGGCCGCCGGGCTCTCCGCCTGTCTTCAAGGCGCGTTACGTGGCTCGAGGCTTCAGTCACCGGCAGGGAGTTGACTACTTTCAGACCTTCTCTCCCACCCCGAAGATGACCACTCTTCGGGTGCTGCTGCACATAGCCGCTCAGCGCGACTACGAGCTTCACTCTCTTGACTTCAGCACTGCTTTCATGCAGGGCAGCCTGCACGAGGAGATCTGGCTGCGCCGCCCTCCTGGCTTCACTGGGTCGTTTCCTCCTGGCACCCAGTGGAGTCTCCGGCGTCCAGTCTACGGTCTCCTCCAGGCGCCACGTGAGTGGCACGACACACTGAGGACTACGCTTGCGGCTCTTGGGTTTGCTCCTTCTACTGCCGACCTGTCACTGTTTCTGCGCACCGACACTTCTCTGCCGCCGTTCTACATCTTCGTGTACGTCGACGACTTGGTCTTTGCCAATGCTGACACTGCTGGACTCGCCCACGTGAAGTCCGAGCTGCAGAAGAGACACACGTGCACAGACCTGGGTGAACTGCGCAGCTACCTTGGCTTGCAGATCACTCGGGACAGAGCACGCCGCACCATTACCCTGACTCAGTCACACATGGTGCAGCAGGTCCTTCAGCGCTTCGGCTTCACGTACTCCTCGCCTCAGGCCACTCCTCTGCCTACTCGCCACTCGCTCTCAGCTCTGCCTTCGGATGAGTCCGTAGAGTCGAGTGGCCCGTATCCAGAGCTTGTTGGCTGTCTCATGTACCTGATGACCTGCACACGACCTGACCTTGCATACCCTCTTAGCTTTCTCGCACGCTATGTTGCTCCTGGGAGACACCGACCAGAGCACATGGCTGCAGCGAAGAGGGTGTTGCGCTACTTGTGCAGTACGTCGGGCATGGGGCTAGTGCTTGGAGGGCGCAGTCCAGTGGTCCTCACTGGGCACGCGGACGCTTCTTGGGCTAACGACCAGGCTACGCAGTGGTCGTCACAGGGTTACACCTTCAGCCTTGGTTCTGGCTCTGTTTCGTGGCGGGCTACTCGCTCGTCTTCTGTTCTCGGCCCCAGTTGTGAGGCTGAGATCTACGCCGGGGCCATGGCTGCACAGGAGCTTCGCTGGCTCACCTACCTGCTGACCAACCTTGGAGAGTCGCCTCGTTCTCCTCCGGTCCTGTACGTAGACAACAAGGCCATGCTGGCCTTGTGTCGAGAGCAGAGACTGGAGCACAGAACAAAGCACATTGCTCTCCGCTACTTCCTTGCTCGTGAGCTACAGCAGCATGGTCAGTTGCGGCTTGCGTACGTGGCCTCTGAGGCCAACACTGCTGATGTCTTCACCAAGGCACTTGTGCCTTGTGATCATCAGCGCTTCTGCTCTTAGCTGGGTCTTGTACCTGTCTTGCCTCACTTGCTCACCTCTTGACCTTGCTTATACTGTTACATATATATATACCTTCTCTTGCTTGTCTAGCCTTATATATATATGTACTCCTGCATGTGATTTGGCCTTGTGGCCTTGAACTTGTGCTCGGAATGTGTGGTGACTTTGTGATCCACCCTGAGCTTCCTTTGCTTTGCTTTGCTTGACTGGTCTTGTGACCCCTTGTTCTCCCCCACTTTGCCTATGGGGGTGTGTCAAAACATATAGCTTGTGCTTATTGTGTAGGCTATAGTGGGGTAGCCCATAAGGGGTACAACCCAATTAGGGTTAGAACTTGTACTCAGTTCATTCATAGTTCATTCATTCTCTTTTCAATCTTCTCACTACTCTACATGGTTCTTTTGTAACACGCATGATTTAGAAATGTGAGAATATGTGGAGAACTGCAATGAGCGACCAAACGATAATTGCATTTCTCAAATTCATCAAATGAATTGATGAATATTTTAAGTTCTAAATTTATACTACCGCTTCCCCCGCCTAGCATGTCGGGGAAGTCAGCAATATAAGGGTTGAAAAAACAGCTACTGTAATAAAGCAATACAAACTGCATATCCCAAAAAAATATCTAAACCGATCAAGTCCAGCTGAAAGTGGCTTCACTGTCATAGTGGTGGACCACTCAACCTTTTGTGACGATGATCGGCAAGATATATTATTGAAAAATGCAGATATGCATTACGATTGCAACGAGAAGAAGCATAATACAAACAGAAATGAAACAAATCAAACAATTACTCATCATTAAAGGAACTAAAAAAAAAGAACTGTAAGTGGTACGACACTCCCTCCCTTCATATCCATCCTGCCTAAAAGCGAGTATCTGCGATAACAAAAAAGAAGCATCGAATGCAAGAAGAAAGATGTGATATTAAGAATTGAAGGTTAAAATAGAATGAAGAGAATGGTTGTAACGAGAGATAGCGAGAGAGAGATAACTAGAGAGAGAGAGAGAGAGAGAGAGAGAGAGAGAGAGAGAGAGAGAGAGAGAGAGAGAGAGAGAGAGAGAGAGAGAACGAGAGAGAGAACGCGAGAGAGAGAACGAGAGAGAGAGAACGAGAGAGAGAGAGAACAAGAGAGAGAGAACAAGAGAGCGAGGGAGAACGAGAGAACGAGAGAGAGAGAGAACAAGAGAGAGAGATCGAGAGAGAAAGAAAACGAGAGAGAACGAGAAAGAGAACGAGAGAGAGAACGAGAGAGAGAGAACGATAGAGAGAGAACGGGAGAGAGAGAACGGGAGAGAGAAAACGGGAGAGAGAGAACGGGAGAGAGAGAACGAGCGAGAGAGAACGGGAGAGAGAATGGGAGAGAGAGAACGAGCGAGAGAGAACGGGAGAGAGAGAGCGGGAGAGAGAGAACGTGAGAGAGAGAACGGGAGAGAGAGAACGAGCGAGAGAGAACGAAATGGACTGAACGTGCAACCTATTACAATCTTTAGGTACAACCTAAGACGAGGTTGAGAGAAAAATGAACTAAAACATGCAAATATGAAGAAAAGGCAACCGACGAGAGGAAAAGTTGAAGGATGAAGAATAGAAGAAACAGATGCAAGCTTATGCAGGAAGGAGAACCTGAAATCTTTACAAAGGGCCGAGAACCTAAGTTTAAACAACTAAGTCTCGCTAATACTCATCCATTTACACGGTTAGGATACGGAATGACTAAATGTTAGTCTATCTAATAGGCATCTAATTTAGTTGGAGCTATAATTGAGGGATCGTCTTACCTAAGTTGCAGTTAGAGTAGGTGGAGAAGTTGGTAGAGCGTGACGAGCGAGAAGGAGAAGCGGGAGAAGAAGGGCAAACAAACCCTAAGGTAGTCTCAGATTCGTCGCAAATTTGAATATAAGTAAAACTTAAATATTCGAATGGACATTAGTGCTGTCGCAGTCGTACAAGGTTGACGGTGGAACCGAAAGTTTCCAGTTCGATTCTCATTCATGCAGTATTTATAATCTTTGCCTGGTGAGAGGAAGTACCACTTAGTGTCATACTACAGCATAATGTACAGAATTAGAAGTTGTACAAATTTACATAAATACGCAAAACGCTTCGCAACCCTAAGACGAATTCGTCGCCTCTTGTTTTTTTTCCTGCCTTGAGATCGAGTCGCCCCTGACCGAGGCGCGCCCTGTGTGCCGCCCTCCCCTTAGCGACCCGTCGCGCCGCCCTTAGCGGCCCGTCGCGCCGCCCTTAGCGGCCCGTCGCGCCGCCCTTAGCGACCCGTCGCGCCGCCCTTAGCGACACGTCGCGCTGCCCTTAGCGGCCCCCTCTCTCAAGGCCCGCCAAGCAGCAGAACCGCCGAGCCGCCGAGGCGTCGAACTGCCGAGCCGCCGAGCCGCTCAGCCGCCGAACCGCCGAGCCGCCTGCAGCCGAGCCGCCGAGGCCGCCGTCAAGCCGCCACTGCCACTGCTGAGCCGCTGCCACCGCGGTTGCAGCTCTGTTCCTACCGGCGCGCCACGGCCCTACCCACCCGGACTGGTGAGAGCACTTTCTGCTAGACCACTACTGTCATGGCTACCCGCAGTGTCCTTATCTTTGATGCTGAGGGTCGTGCTGTTGACTTCGAGGTCTGGGTTGATGACCTACAGCTCTTCCTACAGTGCGATAGGGCAGACAAACTCTCCCTGTTCGATCTCACCTCTGGTGCCTCTCCTGCCCCGCCTGCTGATGCTGACAGCACTGTTCGCTCACAGTGGGCCACACGCGATGCTGCTGCCCGTCTTGCTGTGCGTCGCCACTTACCGACCGCTGAGCGTGCGCTCTTTAGTTAGTACAAGAGTGCTAAGACCCTATGCGATGCTGTAGTTGCACGCTACTCTTCCCCTGCCACTGCTGCCCTTAGCCGCCTAATGCTGCCGTACTTGTTTCCTGACCTTGCCGCCTTTCTCACTGTCGCTGACCTCGTTACACACCTTCAGACTAGTGACACCAGCTACCGCGCTGCGCTTCCTGCCGAGCTCTGCGCCAAGAACCCCCCCCAACATGTACATCACCCTCTACTACATAGTCACCCGGCTCCCTGACTCCCTTCGCTCGGTTAGGGACCACTTCCTCTCTCTTTGCCCCACCACACTCACCGTTGACCTCCTCGAGGAGCGCCTCCTGGCAGCTGAGAAGAGTATAGTCGCTGTAGGAGCCTCTCGACGTGACCCGCGTGCCCCTGTCTTTGAGGGGTGCTCCCCCTCCCCCCTTTTGCCCTGTGTTGCCTCTGCTGCTGCCGTCGACTTTGTTGGCACCGAGCCGGTCGGCGCGGCGTCTGCCCCTAGCAGGCGACGCCGCACCGGCAAGGGCAAGGGGGGCAAGGGCGCTGGAGGGGCAGGCGGGGGCGGTGGAGGTGGAGGAGGCGGAGGGAGTGGGGGTGGTGGTGGGACTGTTGGCGGGGGTGGGGGCTTCGGTGGCGGCGGTGGCGGCGGGGGCGGCGGCGGCAGTGGCGGTGGGGGCGGAGGAGGAGGTGGTGGTGGCGATGGCGGAGGTGGCGGCGGAGGAGGTGGAGCTAGTCGGGGTGGCTCTGCGCAGCGGGGCGGCTTAGGTGGTGGTCAGCGCCAGCAGCAGCAGCGCTCTCGTGAGACCCCGTCCCCCTAGTAGCTTCGTGAGTGGTACGCTGGGCGTCAGCAAGGTGGGGGTACTGGTTCCTGTACCTACGTCCTACGTACCGGCGACCGCGCTGGTGAGCAGTGCGGGGGCTCGCACTCCACCCAGCGCTGCTTTGGCCGCCTGACGGACGCTTGGCGTCACCAGTTCCTTGACGCCACTGAGATCCCTCGCTGGGGAGAGCTGTCTAGGGCGGGGGTTGCTATCTTTGATCTTGACTATGATGCTATTCTTGCTGCCATGTATGCAATGTCTACTAGTGATGAGGGTATCTGTTACCTGTGTATTCCGCCTCACCCGGGCATTGAGGCTGCTGCTCTAGGTGCTGGTGAGGCTGCTGCTCTAGGTGCTAGTGCGTCTGCTGCCCCAGGTGCTGGTGAGTCTGCTCTATCAGGTACCACGTCGGCTCAGGCCTTACACACCTTCACCCTTGACTCGGGTGCTTCCCGCTCCTTCTTTCGAGACCACACCACGCTTACGCCGCTTAGTCGGCCGGTTGCGGTCTCCTTGGCGGACCCCTCTTGGGGTCCTGTCCTTGCTCGCTTCTCCACTGTCTTACCGTGTCCGGCAGCCCCCTCTGGCACCGTGTCAGGTCTCTACCTCCCCTCGTTCTCTACGAACCTGGTAAGTGGTGCTAATCTACAGGATGGGGGTGTTGACTAGTTCACTCCTGCGAGTCAACGGGTGACCCACTGTGCGTGTGCTCGGACGGGCCGACACTTGGCCACGTTTACCCGTCGGCCGGGGTCGAGCCTCTACACACTGACTACTGAGTCTCCTCCGGTTGCTGAGTCTGGTCAGGTAGCTGCATCGAGTCAGGTGTTTGCTGCAGCGTCCAAGTCTGGTCCTGAGTCTGCTCTCTGCTCGTGTCGTCTCCTGTCCCACCAGACTCTCCTTTGGCACCACCGCCTTGGTCACCCCTCCCTGCCTCGTCTCCGAGGCATGGCCTCCCGTGTCCTTGTCTCTGGTCTCCCCCGGTCCCTCCCTCCCCTCCCTCCGGGGCCTGCCCCTACCTGCGTTCCCTGCATCGAGGGGCGGCAGCGCGCCGCCCCTCACTCCTCCGAGTTTCCTACGACAGAGGCTCCGATGAAGACTCTTCACATGGACGTGTGGGGCCCCGCCCGCGTCCGTGGCCAGGGTAACGAGCGTTACTTCCTGTTGGTGGTTGACGACTACTCGCGTTACACCACGGTGTTCCCCTTGCACAGCAAGGGTGACGTCACTGAGGTTTTGATCGTCTGGATCCGCACGGCTTGTCTCCAGCTTAGAAAGAGTTTCGGCTCGGACTTTCGTGTTCTGCGTCTGCACTCTAACAGAGGCGGGGAGTTTTCCTTCTCCCCGTCTGGGAGCCTTCTGTCATGCACAGGGCATCCACCAGACCTTCACGCTTTTGGCCTGTCCACAGCAAAATGGGATTGCTGAGCGCCGCATTGGCATGGTCATGGACTTCGCTCGTACGTCAATGATCCATGCGGCTGCCCCCCATTTTCTGTGGCCATTTGCGGTCCAGTACGCAGCGCATCAGCTCAACCTTCAGCCCCGGGTCTCCTTGCTAGAGACCTCCCCCACCTTGCGGTGGACGGGGAAGGTTGGCGATGCGTCTGCGTTTCGTGTCCAGGGATCTCGGGCGTTTGTCCGCGACTTGTCTGCGGACAAGCTGTCCCCCCGTGCTGTTCCCTGCGTCTTCCTTGGCTTCCCCCCTGACGCGCCTGGTTGGCAGTTTTACCGCCCCATCTCGCGCCGTGTTCTGTCCTCCCAGGACGTCACGTTTGACGAGTCGGTGCCTTACTACCGTCTCTTCCCCTACGGCACTGCGCCCCTCCCCCCGCCGCCGCTCTTCCTAGCGCCAGGTCCTCCCACGGTAGACCCTCTCCCCCCTCTGGGTCCTGCCCCGTTAGGTGTGTCTCAGGTAGACGCAGTCGAGCTTGTCGAGGTAGCTGTTGACTCTGGTGCTGCTAGGGGTGCTGAGCCTGCGGGTGCCGGGTCTGGGGGTGCTGAGCCTAGGGGTGCTGAGTCTAGGGTTGCTGAGCCTGCGGGTGCCGGGTCTGGGGGTGCTGAGCCTGGGGGTGTGGAGCCTGAGGGTGCTGAGCCTGGGGGTACGGAGTCTGGGGGTGCGGAGCCTAGGGGTGCTGGGTCTGCTCGTGTGGCCTCTTGCGGTTTTTCGCCGATGTGGGAGCTACCCTCTCCGCAGAAGCTGCGCGAGTGGTTTGCCCGGCGCTGGAGCCGTGCTGCTGGAGCAGGAGGTGCTACTGTTGCTGCTGGTTCTGGAGGTGCTCGTACTGGCGGTACTGGAGCTGCTGGGACTGGGGGTGCTGCTCGGGCTGCTGGAGTTGGTCCTGCTGGAGGTACTGCTGGAGCTGCTGGCGGTACTGGAGCTGACGGTCCTGCTGGAGCTGGAGCTGCTGGAGCTGGAGCAGCTGGGTGTGTTGGCGCTGGAGGTGCTGCAGGCGGTGGTGCCTCTGAGGGTGCTGGAGTTGGTGCTGTTGGAGCTGGAGGTGCTGCTGGAGCTGGTACAGCCACTCGGAGTACTGGTTCTGTCCCTGCTAGTTCTGGAGGCACTTTGCGGCCGCGGCCGTACTTTGTTCCGCTCCTTGAGCAGGTTCTTGGTCTCCCGCCCTCTACTGGTCCTGCTCCTCCCTTAGAGTGTGCACAGCCCATCCAGTCGCGGTCACATTTCCAGCCTGCCTTCCTCCTGCCTGGTCCTTCTCCCTACACTGGTCCTACTAGAGGTCGTGCTGGGTGACGTAAGCCTAGTCTTGTCCTGCGTTGCCTGTTCGTGCTGCTCGCACTAGTTGTCGTGCTCGGCGTCCGCGTCCTCCTTCGGTCCCAGGCACACACCAGATGGCACTGCGTCCGTCCACTGCTCCTCTGCGTGTCCCGTTGCCGTCTCCTCCAGCGTCCTCTCTTCCTGTTCTTGCTGACACGGAGTCTGACTCTCTTCGTGCTTCCAGTCCTACTATCACGCGTCTCCTGGCTACTGTTGTCACTGACCCTTCCTTTGAGTCCACTGCTGCGTCTGCCTTGGTTGCTGAGCTTGTCGACTTTGCTGCTCGCTGTCGTCTAGACAACGCCACTAGTGTTGTTGCTGAGTCTGAGTCTGTCTGTCCTCCGTCCGTCGGGGGTGAGTGTGCTCTTAGCACGGACGTCCTTGAGGATAGGCAGGAGGAGTTCCAGTGTTTTGCTGCTGCTTTGCCTCATCTCGTGTCCACGCTGATTGCCCCTAAGGGAGACCCAGATGCACCAGACATCCCGACTCCTCGATCCTACGCTGAGGCGATCGAGGGTCCCTACTCCTCACAGTGGCAGTCAGTCATGGACGCAGAGATGGCTTCCTGGAAGTCCACAGGCACCTACGTCGATGAGGTTCCCCCACCTTAGGCGAACATCGTCAGTGGCATGTGGATTTTTAGTCGCCGGGTTTTCCGCCTGTCTTCAAGGCGCGTTACGTGGCTCGAGGCTTCAGTCAGCGGCAGGGAGTTGACTACTTTCAGACCTTCTCTCCCACCCCGAAGATGACCACTCTTCAGGTGCTGTTGCACATAGCCGCTCAGCGCGACTACGAGCTTCACCCTTTTGACTTCAGCACAGCTGTCCTGCAGGGCAGCCTGCACGAGGAGATCTGGCTGTGCCGCCCACCTGGCTTCACTGGGTCGTTTCCTCCTGGTACCCAGTGGAGCCTCCGGCGGCCAGTCTACGGTCTCCGCCAGGCGCCGCGTGAGTGGCACGACACACTGAGGACTACACTTGCGGCTCTTGGGTTTGCTCCTTCTACAGCCGACCCGTCGCTGATTCTGCGCACCGACACCTCTTTGCCGCCGTTTTACATCCTCGTGTACGTCGACAACTTGGTCTTAGCCACTGCTGACACTGCTGGACTCGCCCACGTGAAGTCCGAGCTGCAGAAGAGACACACGTGCACAGACCTGGGTGAACTGCGCAGCTACCTTGGCTTGCAGATCACCCGGGACAGAGCACAGCGCACCATCACCCTGACTCATTCACACATGGTGCAGCAGGTCCTTCAGCGCTTCGGCTTCACGTACTCCTCGCCTCAGGCCACTCCTCTGTCTACTCGCCACTTGCTCTCAGCTCTGCCTTCGGATGAGTCCGTAGAGCCGAGTGGCCCACACCCAGAGCTTGTTGGCTGCCTCATGTACCTGATGATCTGCACACGACCTGACCTTGCATACCCTCTTAGCATCTTGGCACGCTATGTTGCTCCTGGGAGACACCGACTAGAGCACATGGCTGCAGCAAAGAGGGTGTTGCGCTACTTGTGCAGTACGTCGGGCATGGGGCTAGTGCTTGGAGGGCGGAGTCAAGTGATCCTCACAGGTCACGCAAACGCTTCTTGGGCTGATGACCAGGCTACCCAGCGGTCGTCACAGGGTTACACCTTCAGCCTTGGCTCCGGCTCTGTTTCGTGGCGGTCTCCCCGCTCGTCTTCTGTTCTCGGCTCCAGTTGTGAGGCCGAGATCTACGCGGGGGCCATGGCTGCACACAAGCTACGCTGGCTCACCTATCTGCTGACTGACCTAGGAGAGCCGCCTCGTTCTCCTCCAGTTCTGTACGTAGACAGCAAGGCCATGCTGGCCTTGTGTCGGGAGCACAGACTGGAGCACAGAACGAAGCACATTGCTCTTCGCTACTTCCTTGCTCGTGAGCTGCAGCAGCGTGGTCAGCTGCGCCTTGCTTACGTGGCCTCTGAGGCCAACACTGCTGATATCTTTACCAAGGCACTTCCGACTTGTGATCATCAGCGCTTCTGTATGATGCTAGGTCTTGTGCCTACTTGGCCTCACTTGCTCACTTCTTGACCTTGCTTGTACTGTGATCTTTCTATACCTGCACTTTCTTGTTTACCTTTATATATGATCTTGCATGTGAACTGGCCTTTTGGCCTTGCTCTTGTGCTCGGATTGTGTGGTGACGTTGTGATCCACCCTGAGCTTGCTTTGCTTTACTTGACTGGTCTTGTGACCTCTTGTTCTCCCCCACTTTGCCTATGGGGGTGTGTCAAACTCATATGCTATAGTCTGTGTAGGCTGTAGTGGGGTAGACAATATGGGGTACAACACTTTTAAGTTTTCCTACTTGTACCCACCTGCTTGCTAGTTCATTCATTCCTCATTTCTCACACCATCTCAACGCCACCACACCTCACCCCACCTCACCCCATCGCACCCCACCGCCGTCCTCCCTGGCGTGCAGCCTGGTACCGGATCGGAAGGCGCTCGTCCAATTTGCAGCGTGCATGAAGCCAGGCAAGGTGGTGCCGCCCGTGCCTCTGGTTCGGCCTGAGGCCGTGAAGCCGCTTCGGGCCATGGCGGCATGGATGGTGGGCAATAGCTACGAGGAAGCGTGGGTGCGAGTGTACGAGTAAGTCGTGCGATCTGGCCTATCATTTTTCCTCTATGTGCAGGGCATCATCGACCCATCAATGCACATTGTATGCCTAGGCATCTCAGGGTCTTCTATTTCAATGCACGTGTTATTCATCCTAGTCCTTCCCCCATCGACACCTTGAAATATCCCTTCTCCTCTTCCTCTTTCTCTTCGCACACGCACTTCCCCACACCCACTTCGCCCCGCTCCCCGTTCAACCCACCCCGGCCTCTCTGCCCATTGCTGTGGGCAGGGAGCAGCGGGCAGCAGCGCTGCTACGGTGTTTGGAGCGGCTGGGTAGTGCGGCACTGACGCGTGACGAGGTGGTGGCGTTGCGTGGGCCGACCTCGAGCCCCTCATGAAGCGCTGGGTCGAGAACCTCAAGCTCACGGTAACAATCGGTGGAGAATAGCTATGAGCACTGAGCCGGTTGCAAGCTGCCGCTACCACGCAAGGCGGCTCTGTAGGAGGGTTGGCTTGGCCGCAGCTTTTCTTGAGTCCGCTCTGGTCTTGCCTCCATTCTGAGAGGCTTGTACGCTGCGTATTTGCTTCTCTCCCCCTTTCTTGCCTGCGTCTCTCCATCCCCCGCTTCTTTTTCCTCTTCTTCTTTTCTCCCTCTCCTGCTTTGTCCGACTCCTGTTCCTGTTGGTCGTTGCCTGGCGGTGACGGCTGCGGCGCTGCCAACACTGAAGCACCTGCTCTCATATTAGCTCATGCCGTTAGGCTCGTTCTCCACGGCCACCTACTGTTGACACAATATTAAACCGCAGTCCTCCTCTGCGTGTGTGCAGATGCTGGTGCTGATCGCAGCAGAGGAGGCGGTGTGCAGTGACATCATCGGGCGCGGCCCCTCCCCCTCCCCCTCGGTGCGGGCACGGTGTCTGACGGGCGTGGTGGTGCCGGCGCTGAAGCAGCTGCACGCGTTTGGCGACATCATCGCGGACATGCCGCGCGCCCCCGAGCACCTCTTCTCGCTGCTCGAGATGGTGGAGGCGCTGCTCAACCTGCGCCCTGCTGTGAGTCATTCCCTCATGCCCCGCCGTGTGTCATGCACTGTGTGTCATGCAGTGAGTCATGACGTGAGTCATTCCCTCATGCAGTGGGTCATGCAGTGAGTCATGCCGTGAGTCATGCTGTGAGTCATTCCCTCATGCAGTGTGTCATGCAGAGAGTTATGCCGTGGGTACACTTCACTCATACACCCTACACTAGAGCAAGCCAGTTGTATGCTACCATCCCGTCCCTTGCGTATCCCTTGCACTGCACCGCCCCCTGCTTCACTTCACACCCCACCTCCTCATTCTCCCACTCCTCCTCTCCAACCCGGCAGGTGGAGAAGCAGTTTCCCGGGGAGGCGGGCGGTGAGGTGCGGCAGCATCTGTTGGGCATCTGTGTGGTGCTGTGCCGCACGGTGAGGGGCACCATCGCTGACTTCCAACACATCGTGCTCCACGACCCCACCCCGCCCCCCTCCCCCTCCCCCCCTCTCCCCCGCTCCTCCTCCACCTCCTCCTCCATCCCCCCCTTCCCCCCTCCTCCTCCTTTGGTTTCAGCCGCTGGCCAGGAGGGGGGGGAAGAGAGGAAGGGGGAGGAGGACGGAGATGGGGGATGGGGGAGTCATGGGGAGGAGGATTTGGACCCGAGCCACAGATCGGATGCCAGCCATCGATCTCACCACGGGGGCGGTGGGTTGCACAATCGGATGGTCAGCGGCAGCGCGTCAAGAGGGAGGGGCATTCTGGGGGGGCTGCTGCCAAAGAAGGTCAGCAAGGGGCACGAGGAGGGCAAGGGCGAGACGTGGGGGAAGAGCAAGGCAGAGAGCAAGGAGGGTGGGGGGTTGGCGGGGCAGGACGTGGTTGTGAGAGGCAGTCCGGACGTGCACCCTCTGACGAGCTACGTGGTGAACTTCATCCTGCTCTACTTCAACGAGTGCGTGGCCCCTCCCCCATGTGATGTGATGTGATGTGATGTGATGTGATGTGATGTGATGCCATGTGATGCCACGTCATGTCATGTCATGTCATGTCATTTCATGTCATGTCAACTCGTGTCATTTCATGCCACGTCATGTCATGTCATATCATTTCATGTCATATGTCATGTCATGTCATTTGATGTGATGTGATGTGATGTGATGTGATGTGATGTGATGTGATGTGATGTGATGCCATGTCATGCCATGTCATGTGTAACCATTTCTTGTACTCAGAGTGTGAGAATAGTGAGCAGAGTAAGGAGCCATAGCTAGGGTTTAGCTAGCTAGGCAAGAGAGAAATGAAGAAAGGAGGAGGATTTCACTAGCAGCAGTTGGGATACATATAGCAAACCCTAACAGGGTTGTACTCGCTATAGAGCACCCCACTACACGCTAGATAATAACATTATGACACACCCCCATAGCCAAAGTGGGGTGTAATCAGCAGAGCACAGAGTCATAGAGCAGGTTCACAATGGCAAGCAAAGCTAGAGGCTATCACAGAGGGCAAGTGAGGAGGAGGAGAGTACTGTGGACGGAGAGAAGATGGGAGGCAACGACTGAAGCTGCAGAGGCACGGGCACAGGAGCGGCTGACTCCGTGGCTACCGAAGCAAGGGCGACGGACTACTGGAGTGACTGGCTCCGCGGCTATAGACGAGCGGCAGGAGCAACGGACCCACTGGCGACTGGTGCAACAGGCTCACTGGCTACCGAAGCAAGGGCGACGGACTACAGGCGCTGCAGGCGACACGACAGCTACCTCCACACAACCTCCTCCAACTGACCCACACCCTTGACACACACCCCCTGCTGAACCCCTAACTCCACTCCCACGTCACCCCCCTAGCGCCACTCCTTCAGCTCCCACACACCCACCCCCCTGAGCGGCAGCTGCAGCAGCGGGAGACGGAGGAGGAGGAGGAGCAGGGGACGGCGCACACAACCGGCACCCCCATAACCGTCACCCCCACACTCCCCACCCCCAAACCCTAAAACGGGTGGCACAGGGTAGGAGCGCGGGGGACGGCGACGGGGACGGCGCGCGGCCCCCAGGGCGCCACCACGGGGCAGCGAGGGGCCGCGCGCGGCTCCAGGGGTGGAGCGCGGCCCCTAGGGCGCCACCACGGGGCAGCGAGGGGCCGCGCGCTGCTCCAGGGGTGGCGCGCTGCCCCCAGGGCGCCACCACGGGGCAGCGAGGGGCCGCGCGCGGCTCCCCAGGGCGCCGCGACGTGAGGGGCGGGGGCCGCGCATGCTCCCCAGGGCGCCGCGACGAGCAGGGCGGGGGCCGCGCGTGCTCCCCTGGGCGCCGTGACGAGCAGGGCGGGGGCCGCGCGTGGGTCCCCAAGGAAGGAAACCGCCGCGCGCCTCGGGGCGCACGGCGGGCAGAAAACCGCCGCGCGCCCTGAGCGCACGGCGGAAAGAAAAACCGAAAAAAAAATCGCATAGGGGGAAGGAGGAGCCGCACGCCACGGGGCGTGCAACAGACGGAGTAGCAGCAGAAGCAGTTAGGTGGGCCCACTGGCTAGGAGCGTAGATGCTCTGATAGCATGTGAGAATAGTGAGCAGAGTAAGGAGCCATAGCTAGGGTTTAGCTAGCTAGGCAAGAGAGAAATAAAGAAAGGAGGAGGATTTCACTAGCAGCAGTTGGGATACATATAGCAAACCCTAACAGGGCTGTACTCGCTATAGAGCACCCCACTACAGGCTAGATAATAACATTCTGACACAGAGGTGTTGAGGAAACACATTCTACGCTTATGTGTAAACAATATTTACACCCTGTGCATCAGCTTGAGGTGGCCAGCTGCGTGGTCAGCTTATCTGTTCCCGCCCACCAGTAAGGATCATGACATTGATGTGTTCTGCCAAAGGTGCCTCCGTGAGGCCACTCACCCCACTGCTCTTCCCTTCTTTCCCACCCGTCCCTTTCTCCCCCCTTCTCCCCTCACCCCATCCGACACGCCCCTCCCAATCTGGCGTGTCTGGGTGCCCCTAGCGGCACAGTACGCTGTACCTCGGCACGCTGCTGCTGGTGTACGACGAGGGCGGCAACCACCACGAGGGCGCCGTGCGAGTGGGCGCCGCCACGCGCCACCTGCTAGCAGCGCTCAAGGCGAATCTGGAGCGCAAGGGCGACGCGTTCCATGACGAGGCGATGCGCGCCGTGTTCCTCATGAACAACTGCGAGTACATCCAGCGCAAGGTGGAGGAGTGAGTACATCCAGCGAAAGGTGGAGGAGTGAGTCCATCCAGCGCAAGGAGGAGTGGGTCCCTCCCGTCGGTATCTGCTTGGTATCTACTAATGTTGTTGGTGTTGTTCTTGTTAGTGCTAGCATCCCTCTTGGTGGTAATAGTAGTTGTAGTCCGCGTATGGCACAGGTGTGGTGTTGTTAGGGGCATGTGATTGCTTACCCATCTGGAATGATGCGGTGTGCATGGATGTGATGTAATGGGCATGGCATGCAGCATGTGAAGATGATCCTTGGGCGGGCATGGGTGGACGAAAACGCCAAGGACCTTGAGAAGCACCGAGATGCCTACATTCGATGTATTGTGAATAAGGTGAGGTGGCTGCATGTTATGCACCCTTAATAAGGTGGGAACACAACAAAGAATGGCAACTCCTGTATCAGGTTGGCAGGAAGGCTGCCATATCACCAAGTGGGCTTGCACGCTCAAATGGAGGTTGCAGTCTGACTTTCTCTACTGCGCTCAAATAGAGGTTGCAGTTTGTCTTTCTCTACTGCGCTCAAATGGAGGTTGCAGTCTGTCTTTCTCTACTGCGCTCAAATGGAGGTTGTAGTCTGTCTTTCTCTACTGCGCTCAAATGGAGGTTGCAGGCTGTCTTTCTCTACTGCGCTCAAATGGAGGTTGCAGTCTGTCTTTCTCTACTGCGCTCAAATGGAGGTTGTAGTCTGTCTTTCTCTACTGCGCTCAAATGGAGGTTGCAGTCTGTCTTTCTCTACTGCGCTCAAATGGAGGTTGCAGTCTGACTTTCTCTACTGCGCTCAAATGGAGTGTGAAGAAATGAGGAATGAATGAACTAGCAAGCAGGTGGGTACAAGTAGGAAAACCTAAAAGTGTTGTACCCCATATTTTCTACCCCACTATAGCCTACACTGACTAAAGCATATGAGTTTGACACACCCCCATAGGCAAAGTGGGGGAGAACAAGAGGTCACGAGACCAGTCAAGCAAAGCAAAGCAAGCCCAGGGTGGATCACAAAGTCACCACACAGTCCGAGCACAAGCTCAAGGCCACAAGGCCAGTTCACATGCAAGATTATATATAAAGGTAAACAAGCAAGTGCAGGTATAGTAAGATCACAGTACAAGCAAGGTCAAGAAGTGAGCAAGTGAGGCCAAGTAGGCACAAGACCTAGCATCGTACACAAGCGCTGATGATCACAAGGCAGAAGTGCCTTGGTGAAGATATCAGCAGTGTTAGCCTCAGAGGCCACGTAAGCAAGGCGCAGCTGACCACGCTGTTGCAGCTCACGAGCAAGGAAGTAGCGAAGAGCAATGTGCTTTGTTCTGTGCTCCAGTCTGTGCTCCCGACACAAGGCCAGCATGGCCTTGTTGTCTACGTACAGAACTGGAGGAGAACGAGGCGGCTCTCCTAGGTCAGTCAGCAGGTAGGTGAGCCAGCATAGCTCCTGTGCAGCCATGGCTCCCGCGTAGATCTCAGACTCATAGCTGGAGCCGAGAACAGAAGACGAGCGGGTAGACCTCCACGAAACAGAGCCGGAACCAAGGCTGAAGGTGTAACCCTGTGACGACCGCTGCGTAGCCTGGTCGTCAGCCCAAGAAGCGTTTGCGTGACCTGTGAGGACCACTGAACGTCGCCCTCCAAGCACTAGCCCCATGCCCGACGTACTGCACAAGTAGCGCAACACCCTCTTCGCTGCAGCCATGTGCTCTGGTCGGTTTCTCCTAGGAGCAACATAGCGTGCCAAGATGCTAAGAGGGTATGCAAGGTCAGGTCGTGTGCAGGTCATCATGTACATGAGGTAGCCAACAAGCTCTGGGTACGGGCCACTCGGCTCTACGGACTCATCCGAAGGCAGAGCTGAGAGCGAGTGGCGAGTAGACAGAGGAGTGGCCTGAGGCGAGGAGTATGTGAAGTCGAAGCGCTGAAGGACCTGCTGCACCATGTGTGACTGAGTCAGGGTAATGGTGCGCTGTGCTCTGTCCCGGGTGATCTGCAAGCCAAGGTAGCTGCGCAGTTCACCCAGGTCTGTGCACGTGTGTCTCTTCTGCAGCTCGAACTTCACGTGGGCTAGTCCAGCAGTGTCAGCAGTGGCAAAGACCAAGTTGTCGACGTACACGAGGATGTAGAACGGCGGCAAAGAGGTGTCGTCGCGCAGAAACAGCGACGGGTCGGCTGTAGAAGGAGCAAACCCAAGAGCCGCAAGTGTAGTCTTCAATGTGTCGTGCCACTCACGCGGCGCCTGGCGGGGACTGTAGACTGGCCGCCGGAGGCTCCACTGGGTACCAGAGGGAAACGACCCAGTGAAGCCAGGTGGGCGGCGCAGCCAGATCTCCTCGTGCAGGCTGCCCTACAGGAAAGCTGTGAAGAGAGTGAAGCTCGTAGTCGCGATGAGCGGCTATGTGCAGCAGCACCCGAAGAGTGGTCATCTTCGGGGCGGGAGAGAAGGTCTGAAAGTAGTCAACTCCTTGCCGCTGAGTGAAGCCTCGAGCCACGTAACGCGCCTTGAAGACAGGAGGAGAACCCGGCGACCGCTTCACCCTAAAAATCCACATGCCACTGACGATGTTCGCCCCAGGTGGGGGAACCTCGTCGACGTAGGTGCCTGTGGACTTCCAGGAAGCCATCTCTGCGTCCATGGCTGACTGCCACAGTGAGGAGTAGGGACCCTGGATTGCCTCAGCGTACGATCGAGGAGTCGGGATGTCTGGTGCATCCGGGTCTCCCTCAGGGGCAATCAGCGTGGACACGAGATGAGGCAAAGCAGCAGCAAAACACTTGAACTCCTCCTACCTGTCCTCAACGACGTCCGTGCTAAGAGCACACTCACCCCCGACGGACGTAGGTCAGACAGACTCAGACTCAGCAACAACACTAGTGGCGTTGTCTAGACGACAGCGAGCAGCAAAGTCGACAAGCTCAGCAAACAAGGTAGACGCAGCAGTGGACTCAAAGGAAGGGTCAGTGACAACAGCAGCGCCGCCAGCTCAAGTACCGCCAGCAGCACCAGCAATACCTCCAGCAGGACCAACTCCAGCAGCCCAAGCAGCACCCCCAGTCCCAGCAGCTCCAATACTACCAGTACGAGCACCTCCAGGACCAGTGGCTCCAGTAACTCCAGTGCCGACCCCAGGGTCAGCAATAACAGCAACACCTCCAGCTCTAGCAGTATGGCTCCAGCGCCGGGCAAACCACTCGCGCAGCTCCTATGGAGAGGGTAGCTCACGCCTCGACGAAGCACCGCCAAAGGCCACACGAGCAGACCCAGCACCCCCAGGCTCCGCACCCCCAGGCTCAGCACCCCCAGGCTCCGTACCCCCTGGCTCTGCACCCCCAGGCTCAGCACCTCCATGCTCTGCACCCCCAGGCTCCGCAACCCCAGGCTCAGCACCCCTAGACTCAGCACCCCTAGCAGCACCAGAGTCAACAGCTACCTTGACACGCTCGACTGCGTCTACCTGGGACACACCTGACGGGGCAGGACCCTGAGGGGAGAGAGAGTCTACCGGGGGAGGACATGGCGCAAAGAAGAGCGGCGGCGGGGGGAGGGGCATAGTGCGGTAGGAGAAGAGACGGTAATAAGGCAACGACTCCTCAAAGGTGACGTCCTGGGAGGACAGAACACGGCGCGAGGTGGGGTGGTAAAACTGCCAACCAGGCGCGTCAGGGGGGAAGCCAAGGAAGACGCAGGGAACCGCACGGGGGGACAACTTGTCCGCAGACAAGGCGCGGACATACGCCCGAGATCCCCACACACGGAACGCAGACGCATCGCCAACCTTCCCCGTCCACCTCAAGGTGGGGGAGGTCTCCGGCAAGGAGACCCGGGGCTGAAGGTTGAGCTGATGCGCTGCGTACTGAACTGCAAACGGCCACAGAAAATGGGGAGCAGCCGCATGGATCATGGACGTACGAGCGACGTCCATGACCATGCCAATGCGGCGCTCAGCAATCCCATTTTGCTGTGGAGAGGCTGGAAGCGTGAAGGTCTGGCGGATGCCCTGTGCACGACAGAAGGCTCCCAGACAAGCAGAGGAAAACTCCCCGCCTCTGTTAGAGTGCAGACGCAGAACACGAAATTCCGAGCCGAAACTCTCTCTGAGCTGGAGACGAGCCGCGCGGATCCAGTCGATCTATATCTTAGTGACGTCACCCTTGCTATGCAAGGGGAACACCGTGGTGTAACACGAGTAGTCGTCCACCACCAATAGGAAGTAACGCTCGTGACCCTGGCCACGGACGCGGGCGGGGCCCCACACGTCCATGTGAAGAGTCTGCAGGGGAGCCTCTGTCGGAGGAAACTCGGAGGAGTGAGGGGCGGCGCGCTGCCGCCCCTCGACGCAGGGGACGCAGGTAGGGGCAGGCCCCGGAGGGAGGGGAGGGAGGGACCGGGGGAGACCAGAGACAAGGATACGGGAGGCCATGCCTCGGAGACGAGGCAGGGAGGGGTGACCAAGCCGGTGGTAGCAAAGGAGAGTCTGGTGGGACAGGAGACGACACAAACAGGAAGCAGACTCAGGACCAGACCTGGACGCTGCAGCAAACACCTGACCAGACTCAGCAACCGGAGGAGACTCAGTAGTCAGTGTGTACAGGCTCGACCCCGGCCGACGGGTAAACGTGGCCAAGTGTCGGCCCGTCCGAGCACACGTACAGTGGGTCACCGCTGACTCGCAGGAGTGAACTGGTCAACCCCCCCATCCTGTAGATCAGCACCACTCACCAAGTTTGTAGAGAACAAGGGGAGGTAGAGACCTGACAGGGTGCCAGAGGGGGCTGCCGGACACGGTAAGACAAAGGAGAAGCGAGCAAGGACAGGACCCCTAGAGGGGTCCGCCAAGGAGACCGCAACCGGCAGACTAAGCGGCGTAAGCGTGGTGCGGTCTCGAAAGAAGGAGCAGGAAGCACCCGAGACAAGGGTGAAGGTGTGTAAGGCCTGAGCCGACGTGGTACCTGAGAGAGCAGACTCACCAGCACCTGGGGCAGCAGACGCACTAGCACCTAGA